GATTTCAGTTTTTTCACTTTAATGATAAATCTTCCTCATGCTTAAGGGTTACCTGTGGAGGGATCAGTGCTAGGACCGATTCTCTTTACTATATATGTGCACCTAATCAGTAGAATGATTAGACAGCATGGGGTTAATTTCAACTGTTATACTCAGCTATATCTGTCTATAAATCCAGATGAAGCTAGCCCATTACATAGATTACAGGCATGTCTTGAAGACATAAAAACCTGGACGACTCTTATCTTTCTCCTTCTGAATGCAGACAAAACAGAAGTTATAGTCTTTGGACCAGAGTCTTTGAAAAAGAAGGCGATTAGTCAGTCACTTCATTTGGATGGGATTAAACTGATCTCAGATAATAAAGTAAAACATTTTTAAAGAATGTCCTTTCATCTGCGGAATATTGCAAAAATGAGAAATCTGTCCAGGGGTGATGCTGAGAAACTAGTCCATGCATTTTTTACTTCAAGGCTGGACTATTGTAATTCTTTACTATCAGGAAGTCCACAAACTGTAGTTAAAATCCTTCAGCTGATCCAAAATGCTGCAGCCAGAGTACTGATGAAAATTAAAAAGAGAGATCACATCTCTCCTATCCTGGCTTCTCTTCATCGGCTTCCTGTTAAATCCAGATTAGAATTCAAAATCCTCCTTCTCACATATAAAGCCTTCAATGGCCAAGCTCCATCTGACATCAGAGATCTAATTGTTCCTTATGTTCCTAACAGAGCACTTCGCCCTCAATCTGTGGGCTTACTAGTGGTTCCTAGAACTTCTCAAAGTAGAATGGGAGGCAGATCTTTTAGTTATCAGGCTTCTTTCCTGTGGAACCAACTACCAGTTTTAGTCTGTGAGGCAGAAACCCTGTCTACTTTTAAGGTTATGAGTAAATCTTTCCTTTTTGATAAAGTTTATAGTTAGAGTGGCTCAGGTTATCCTAAAATATCCCTATATTTATGCTGCTATAGGCTTATAGGTTGGAGGACATAGGGACCCCTTTTTCATCACTCTGCTTCATTTTATCTCTGTTCTCCCATTCTGCAGATTTTTTTAGTTCAACGTCTAACATTAAGCTCTCTCTGCTTTTTCTCATAGTAGCTTCATCGGGTCTGTTCCCGTTTGGCTGTGACACCAGCCTTGAGAGAAATGTCAGCTGTGCTGCTGCCATCAACACCTTTGTTTCTAGATGTTTGAGCTTGCTTTGTTTTTCAGTGTAGTCCTCTTTCAGTGTAGTTCTCTTTCATCCTCTGACGTGGGGGGTCGCTCTGAGCTGGTCTGCCTGGCTGTGTTTCCTGGACAGGGCTGCCTGTGGAGCTGGTTGACAGTTTCCTTTTGTATCTCTGCTTTTTTTTCAATGTCTGCTTCTGTCTCCTTGAACCCCAGTCGGCCTCAGCAGATATCCACTCACACTGAGCCTGGTTCTGCTGGAGGTTTCTTCCTGTTAAAAGGGAGTTTTTCCTCTCCACTGTTGCTACAAGCATGCTTGGTGTGAGGGATTGCCTTCTGGTCAATGAATCATTGCAATCAACAGTTTTTTTTCTTTATGTAGAAAACTTTGAATCAATTTGACTGTATGATCTGGTTGAATAATGTCTGTAAAGTGCCTTGACACTATAGAAATAGACTGAATTGATGTACATATAAACTTTAATCTTCAGGAAATTATGTCAATGGTTGTTTAAAACTTTTTAAACCTTACAGTTGTACCCCACTGAAACTAAAAATTCATGCATTGCTGAGTTACAAGATATTCATTGAGAAGTTGAAGAAGAAATAAAAAAATATGTTAGGGGAGTTGGATATTTTGGATTTTGTTTCAAACTATTTATTCTCCAGCATTTATCTTTTCCCACGGACCAGGAAGCTGGAGTACATAGAGAGATATAATGCATGCAAACCCTGTGAAGAAAGAGAGCAGGCCGAGATTTCAATCCAGGACATTCAAAGAAGACTTCTAGATGAGCTAGTGTTTTTTAACATTTGATTCTTACATCATCCCGCAGCAATGAAAATTCATTTATTTCATTGGTTTCTATTGAATTTAAGTTTGCTATTTGAATCCACGGAAACAATCTTTGAATGGCATCCTGACCTAGATTCACTTAGTCGGAATAATATTGAATTGATCATTTAATGTCATAATTGAATTTATTATGCAAAACCCAACATGTATGGGCCTCCTGAGAAGACATATTTTAATTGATGAAATATGGCAACATTTTTAGACCATTTCTTAGCTTGTGTTTAAGAAAGAAAATTACTTCATGATTCTCAATTCTGTCCTTTAGACCTAAAACGTGATACCAAATGTATTTTCTTGACTGAATACTCGAACTGAATGGTTCAAGTATTCAGGATCCAGTCTGAAACTGAATACATGCTTAAAGCCTGTTTATTATACACTAGTTTGTGTGATTAAGATAACAGAACACAGATCATTTAAATAGTTTAAAATATGAAACCTTCATATTCAAATGTGACCATTGTTCTACCAGATGGACAGTCCATCTGGTAGAACAATGTTATAATCGTTGTGAGTCAACAGCAACAACACTCTTAAATACACCCTCTTATTTCCTGTTCACCTGCTGAACTTCACTGTGATTTCTGTGTTATTCTTCATATGCTTCCTTTCTAGCACTTAATTATGCCCTAATGAGTGCTCACACAGAGGCGTAGTCTAAGCAGAGTTGCATTGTATTGGCCAGACGGTCAGATTAAAGAACCCATAAAAACTTTATTGACACCCCACACTATGACCATGTTCAGACTGTGGGACTTGTGTTGGCGGGCTGCTTACAGCCCCACACATGTTGTCAGCAGACAGGACACCAGACAGACATCATGTGTTTAAAGTGAGTTCGGCAACTGAAATGTGACAGAAACAAGCACATTTAACACATTTAACACATTTAATTGATGTGCTTTAATATGTACTACAAAGTCAGTCGGTCTCTGCAAAAATAACATGCCTTGCTCTTTCTCTAGCTGCCTCAATGGTAAACAGGATAACCATAAATCCTCGTTTACTTTATTTGCTTTAATTGCTGATGGTAACAATTCTGTGATGGACTGAGCACTTACATTACCTAATGTGTTTGGTATCTTCCTCTCTTGTTCCTTCTTCTCTGTTTTATAAGTGAGGTCACTTTCATGGTTAAGTTTTATTTTTCCAGTGCAGAAAGAATGACCTCTTTTTATTTGCTATTGGCCTTATAAAATGAACACAATGAGGCAGTTTTCATTTAAAATTTCCCATTTTATTACCTAATTTCTACAGGTTCTTTTCAGTCAGATCCAACTAAACAAGACAAATATACATTCCCTATATTTTGCTCTATATTATTTCCCATATGAATAAATACATATTTATACAAATAAAATCTCTCTCACTGTATATGTATATTTGGATAAAATAGAAAGAATAACCCACAATCTTGACTATGCTCCAAGATGATGGTATCCTTAACCATATTTTGTTGTATAGCCTTTTAAGGCAATCACTGCAATCAAACTGTCCGTGACACTTCTACTCCTCTCTACAGGTATTTTGGTCCATTCCTCATGAGCAAACTGCTCCAGTTGTCTCAGATTTCAAGGGTGCTTTTCAGAGACAGTGTGTTTCTGTGCCTTCCAGAGATGCTCCATAGGATTTAGGTCTGGGATCAGAGAAGGCCACTTCATACTGTAGCAATCAAATCCTCTCTTAGCCATTCTTGGCTGTTTTTAGCTGCGTGTTTTCAGTCATTATCCTGTTCAAAGACCCATGACTTGTAATTGAGATCAAGATTTCTGACACTGGGCAGCAAATTTATCTCTACAATCCCTTGATATTGTTGAGATTTAATTGTAACCTGTAGGTATTCAAGACACCCTGTGCCAGATGAAGCAAAGCAGCCCAAGAACTTAACAGAAGGTCCTCCATGTTTCACAATAGAGACAGTGTTCTTTCCCTGAAATGCTTCATTTTTCTGTCTGTGAATGTAGAACTTATGTGCCTTGGCAAAAGAAGATTTGTGGTTTGTAAACATGTAGTTTGGTAAATACCAGTCTGTCCTCTTTTTGATATGTTTTCAACAATGGTGACCTCCTTGGTCCTCTTCCATTAAGTCCATTTTGACTCAAACAACAACAGATGGTGCAATCTGGCACGGATGTTCCCTGAACTTGAGGTTCAAATTTAAACTCTTTAGAAGTTATCTTTGGCTCTTTTATTACCATTCGTATTATGTGTCTCTTTCATTTCTCGTCAGTTTACTTCCTGTGGCCACATCCAGGGAGGTTGGCTACAATCCCATGGATCTAAAAAATGTCTCCAACTGTAGTCACAAGAAACTCAAGCTTGGAGATGGTCTAATAGCCTTCATCTTTAATGTCTAGACATTCTGTGTATACAAAATGACAAAAAAGTTTGTCTAAGTCTATAATCTATGGCTAATTGTTAAAACTACTGATACAATATTACATCATGAAAGATTCTTATGAACATATATATTTATACATATACATAAAAAATATAGTTTTTATGTATTTTAACTTTGTAATTGTTTATATGTTAAATACAGTAAATGCATCTTATGACATTTCTGACATTTCTCTACAGGTTACAGGAGTCAATTCCCCTTACTCTCTCTTCAAAAAGGACAAGACAAAAAACACCCAAAGCAATTCAAGTAAATCACATGTACTTTATGCTCTTCCTTTATGCTGACGAAATGAAATGGTCACAAATCAATAGCTACTTATTGGTATTTACCCATATCTATGGTCAGAGCTTTAATTAATAAAATTGGTAACTGGACTCAAATTGTTTAAAATAGCCTGATAATGCAGGGATTTGTGTTGTAGAAGATGGTATGATATTAATAATCGTAAAAGTAAGGCAAGACTTGTTTGAATAAAATCCCAATGTTATTTTCTAAAACTCTGTATTGTGGTTGTTTTGATACCGTCAAAATATGTATTTTTGCATATGGTTAAATTAATACTAAATTAAACAGCATATTAGAGGAATATCTGTAGAGCAAGCATTTCATATCTAGCCAAAAAAAGGAAACAGAGCGGAACTCAGGAAAGATTTGTGTTTTTAGCCGTACCCTTTTAATCGACGAACCAAATATAGAACTTTGCCTGTTTGTTCCACGTTTTTTTAAGTTAACGTCAAATTTTCGCTAATCAAGTTCACACCACGTTAAGTCGGAACATTTATGATAAAGGCTTTAAAGAAAGGATTTAAATCTGTGGAGTTTTTTCGTGTAAATAGGAACCTTATTTAGTTTAACAGGTGAGTCGGCAAATTGAAACACAGCGGGCTGTTTTACTCTGACTAACTCCTGACTTCATTCGAATAGTTCGTTATATTCTGATTGCAATAAGTCAACACAACCTTCACTAGTTTGGACATAAGTATTTATATTGTTTTCACATTTGATGTATTTAACCAAATGACCCCCAAATACAAGTTGTCCGAGACTTAGATGTGTTACGGTCACTGAACTTTGGTGTCAGATGGGCTGTTTATACCAGTTAAACAGATCTCTAGCTCAAGATTTTAAATGGACATTCTTACAAAGGGTTAAAGAAGAGACGTATTTTAAAATATCAAGAGTGTATTAGTCACTTGGGCTTTTATTACATGTCTGCATCTGATTCTTTAGTATCCAAAATGTTTATTTATTTTATTTTATTTTATTTTTGCACGGAAGACGGTTTAGATTATTTCTTTAAATAGTAAGAAAGAAAAAAAGCTGCATTTTCTTTCCTTTGTCTGTCAGCAGTCATGCTGCTGGTGGACACCGGTGTTTACATCGGTACTGCAGCGGATCTAAACGACAGGCAGGCGCTGGATGCTGGCTCTGTCACCCACATCCTGTCCGTGGACTCCGTGGACCCCCGGCTGGTGTTTCCTGCAGATGCAAAACTCCGCATGAAGTGGATAGATGTTTTAGATGAGGCCACGTCTGACCTTCTCAGTCACATGGATGCCTGCTTTGACTTCATAGAGGAGGCGGTTAAAGGGGGCGGGGCAGCCCTGGTTCACTGGTGAGGATCAGATAGTTTAAACTTTTCCTTTTTCAACTGTAGTCTAACTGGAACTTTACCTGTTCTTTTTTTTTTTTTTGTTGCTTTTCTTTATTCCTTCTCTCAGCCAGGCGGGTCGGAGTCGCAGTGCCACCATTGTGACAGCTTATCTGATGAAGAAATACCAGCTGGGCTTCACAGAGGCCTACACCAAACTAAAGAAGGTCAAACAGGATGTCCAGTGAGTCTGTCTGCTGTCCTCACTTTACTGACAGAATTTCATATGGTCAGTTCTTAGGTTATAACCTGATTGACATTCCGTATTTCATTTCATGTAAATGCAGTGCTGCATTAAATGGATAAATGAGTGTAATGTTGGCAATTCTTTGCAAAAACAGATGTTTTCACCTTTACTTTTGGAAGAATAACCATTGAAAAGTTAAAGCCCTACAAAATAAAATGTAAATCCTGCAGCCAAGTGGAATCTGTGTCCTTAGCACAGTACGTTGCAAAATTATCCATAGACTTTAAAGCTTTTTCAACTACTTTTCACATTAAAACCACAAAGTTCAGCATATTCTCTATGCCAACACATGTTTGCTTAGGGCAGTGTTTCCCAACCTTTTTGACTTGTGTACCCCTCTGGGCATTGTGTCTTACCATGAGTAACCCTCTTAGTCAAAAGGATTGATGATTGTCCAAAAGTGGAACATATAATAACTGATTATAAAATAAAAACTATTTACCTAATCTTTTAATTTGAGCATTTAATTCTGAGGTATTTTATGCTTTCGATCTCAAATAAAAAACAACATAAATATGTTGCCTGGAAGTTAGTAAGACTTAGACTTAGACAGTATTTATTGTCATTTTGCATACACAGAGCGTATACAAAATGAAATTTCATTTTGTACAGCTCTCATGACATTTCCATTATTTGAGCTGCATCTGGTCACTGCTGCCAGGCGCTGCCATGATTCTAAGGAATTAAGACAAATGCAAAATAAAATAATTTATAAAACCTGAGTAACTCTCTTATAATCACATTTAAACTGAATCAATTAGGAACAAAATAAAGAACAGAAATTATAATCAGACTGACTTAATTAGTTTTACTCTTGTTCTCATCGAAACACCTGAGCTGCTTTGATGAGCTCCGATAGCTCAGTGTGAAAAACAGCTGATTCCACAAACAAAACAGATCCATACCCTATTTTATTGTATTACATGAGAAATAAAATATTACTCCTTGCAATGCACTCACGGACCACATACACACATATTTTCTCGTGAATCATGACCAGATTTCTTTTACTAAACTACTATTTAACTAAAATGCTGCCATCACTATGTTCAGGGTGATGTGTTGTTAGTTTTTAATCACATAAATCGTTTTTTTTTTTTTTGTAGGTAAAAACATACAGTCTTGCTCTTATCTAACAGATCTCCAACATCCCCATTAGAAATAAAATTATATTAGGTGATTTTTCCCTTCATATCTTATAAAAAACTTAGAATTAGACTTCTTGAGGTTTTATTTCACCAATTCCATTTATGTCACATTATCTCGTTATTTGTAGCTGATAGTTAATAGATCTCTAACAGTTCTGCTGAGTCTCAATAGATCCTCCAAAGTTATCACGGTCCTCCTGGCTGCTTTTTTTATCCTTGTCTGGCCCATCAGGTTAGGCACGGACTGTATTGGTTTGTATTTAGCCTCTACCCTTTCGTTTTTAAGATGCTATGGTTAGAAAGAGGCTCTGTGATATGTTTCAGAGATAGTAAGACTCCTGCATTTAGTTGTTAGTTACAGATATCTGAGTATCAAACACATGATCATGTTGGGTGATGTGTTTCAGGGTCAACAGTGGCTTTGAGGAGCAGCTCCATCTGTATGAAGCCTTGCACTGTGAAGTGGACCCATCCAGTCCTGTCTACAAACAATACAGACTGCAGAAGGTCACAGAGAAATACCCTGGTAATTTCAGATAAATCAAACTCCTCGTATTTCACAGCTCATTATTGTGCTGCATCTCTAAGCTGGTTTCTGATTGCTTCGACCCCCTGGTCTCTTTATATGGGAGCAGAGCTGCAGCAGGGTGCAGCAGAGTTACCCAAAGAGATTTTTGCCTGTGACCCCGCCCACTCCAGCTCCTCTGAAATGTCTTACAGATGCAGAAAGTGCAGGTAAGTAGTTTTCCAGCACACACACAGCTCATAGTTTGTTAAAGGACTTAAATGTGTTACTGCATTGTTGCTCAATCCCCAGCATCCATCTGTGTTCTTACCCTCACTGTCTCCTCTTCAGACGGACTCTGTTCCGTGGTTCCAGTGTTCTCAGTCATGCTGTGGGAGTGGGAGCCTCAGCCTTCAGTCACAAGAAGCCAAGTAACCTCACTGGTAGGAGAGACGCTTATCTGACAGAACAAATCATTGCCACCATCTTGATCTGTTCCTGTTATAGGGAGGCTTTGTATTAGATTTTATACTTTAGAAAGGCCTTTTTATGAAAGTTTCAGGTCGTTATCAAGCAAACACATTGAACTTGGAGTGTCTCTGCCACTGTGTTCATTCTTTCAGGAGACGTCCAGTGTACCTCGTACTTCATTGAGCCAGTGCAGTGGATGGAGCCGGCTTTGCTTGGAGTGATGAATGGGCAGGTAATGCACAGTTGGCAGGATATAAACAGAACTAAGAGACTTTAATGTCAGAATTTGGTCTGAAATCGTAAAGAACAAGGAAGAAGGAAAGTGTTAAGGGAAATTTTGCTGTTTTTTTCCCAGCAGATTTAATGAAAACTGAAAAGAAAAAAAAAAAACACTATCATCTGTTTGTCTGTGATTTGCTGTATTCTGTTAAATATGACATACCTCAAAATGAAAAGCCATGATGATACTTTCTATCAAGAAGGAAATATCTTCTCAATTCAGGCAGCGGCTACAGAAAAATAGCCACCTGCCTAAACTTGAAAATGACTCCCCCAAGCGGATTAATAATTAAATGGCTTTTAAACAACTGGAAGAACCACACTTATCTTGGCACCAGACCAGTCACCAAAGCTCACTGTGAGCGAGCTGCAAAAAGGTGGCAATAAAGGTTCTCCGTATCAACCATTTATTTTAAGTTCCTCCTGTCTCTATCAGTCTATGGGAAAAAGACGGGTCTCATCCTGGACCGATTGACAGTCTATCGCAGAGTAGAAATGTACAAACATGCATAAAGATGCTTAGAGATAATTTAGATACACCATTTAACCTAACAGTGATATTTTTGGATATGGGAGGAAGCAGGAGTACCCAGAGAGAATTCACACTTGCACAGAGAGAACATGCAAAGAAGGTCCTAGCTTGGGTATCAAATTGCTGCAAGACAAAAGTCCTACTAATTGCGCCTCCATGCAGCTTTTAGGTCAGTCTACTGTCGAAAAAACGAGCCACTAGTGCCAGCAATATAAAAAAAAAAGAGCATTATAGATGTGTAAACACTAACACAGACATATGCGTAACAAAGTCGCACACATGCAGGTGTACACAGAAAATGCCACTGTGAGGACAGCCTACTGATTGCCAGGGGTTTGGTTTTTTTCAAGATTATTTTAAGTCTTTATTCAAAGTCCTCATTTTTATGTGTTGCATTATAAAGAAATGGGACATTTTAAAATATCTGAGTTAAAGTTTCTTTAAGTCGAGCTTTTTCATCCCAGGTAATAAAGTGTTGGCAACATGTTAATTAAAGACGTTTGCTTTAATATGAGTTGTCTGGATAATCCTCCTTTTACCAGAACTAATTTGTGTGTGTTTAGCTGCTGTGTCCAAAGTGTCGCTCCAAGCTGGGCTCGTTCAGTTGGTGCGGGGATCAGTGTTCATGCGGCAGCTGGGTCACGCCCGCCTTCCAGCTGCATCGCAACAGAGTGGATGAGATCCGGCAGCTACCCGTTCAAAAATGACACACACCTCACCCAGGAAATAATCTTAATGATTTATATATATCCTGTGCATTTTAATGGTATGAATGAATGCAGTAATGTATTTCCAGTGAGCAACATCTATGAATGTTCTAGTCATTACACATGTGACTGTAAATAAAATAAATCTGTAGATTTTGTATTTAAATAAAATTAACTGGTACTCAGTAAACCAGTCCAGCTGATTCTTCACAACTTTACTTATTTCTGCTACATTTGAATGGATGAAGCTTTGAGTCGTTGAAGGTAGTGAGATAAATGAAGAAAAGAAAATCTATCGAGAAAATATAAGTACCTTCCTGGTTTGTGGAAACCTTCAACGAAAGCTTTATTAATGTCACTTTTTAATACCTGTTTCTACATTAGCAGCCATTTGAAATTGCACTTCCTAGTCAAACGCCAGCTGAATGGCAGCCCACTTCCCCTTGAACTTTTACAGCGAAATCCCCTCCAACTTCCAGCCACTGGAGTGACCCCCCCCCCCCCCCCGCACATTTTCTGACTCCACCCTTTTAATAAATTACAGGGTCTGACCAGGAGACGATGCTTCTCTTTAGATCTTAATGTCCACTAATCAAGACAGAATATTTTAGTACAAATATTGATGCTTAAAAAGGAATTGTAGGGGACCAGCCAAGGGCTCAACAAGAAAAGTGGGGAAAATATGAATGGCTACAACTGCATTATTTTTATTAATTGCTTTTATTTTTTTTCTATTTAATTCATTTAAAGCACTTTATATTGTGATAGTACTGAAATATGCTTAATAATTAAACTTGCCTTCTGTAGAGATTGGATTTTGGGTTTATGACTCTCCTGTGAACAGATTTTCACACCTTTGCTGTGAATCTCTGCAGCTCCTCTCAAGGCACCATAAGAGCTTCTTTCATAAGAATTGCTCTCTTTGTGTAGCAGATGTATCCATATTTTGTTAGCTTTGCTGTCATAATGTTATACGATCATAACCTGCTCTACTACTGCACTCCACAGATCTTCTATCTAGAAAACCTCCATGAGAAGTCATATTTAAACTTTGTTGAACTCTTGTAAGGAACTTCACAAACCTGTAGATGTTCAGGTGAAACTGATCTTCATTAAAGACTTTTTTAACAAGGAAACAAACAAATGATCAATGCAGTCATATCAGTAAGAAGCTAAACTGATCCTATCTGTGTGTGTATGAAGTCAATTTTCAGTCATACGTATTTGTGCGTTATTACTGTGAATATGAAGTCGTAGAGAGAAATAAAACCGAGAGTCTGTAATTGTAGATATTTCTAGCTTTTAAAATTTCAAAAGGTTACATTCCTCCAAATTTTTGAGTAAAAGTGCACAAACTGTGTTCTTTGAAGCACAAATTAAAAAAGTTTTTCGTCTTCAGTTATGCTTCAATTCCAAAACTATTATTGAAAAACTATTTGTGGCTTTGGAGTTTTGTAGTTTTAGATATTTTTTTCTATCTTCACGATTATGAAAAGGATAAGTTATACCTCTTGGAATTCTGGAGAACAGCTACACATATTGTGCTCCCTCAGTGATAAATAAAAAATCTTTTGCGCTCTGTTTTGCTCCAGTTCACCTAAATTACCTTCATAAGTGTCTTCATAAATATTCTTTTTCCGGGTGGATCATCAAAATAAGTGTTCCTCCTAATTGTCAATCATTCTGGTGATATGTTTACATAAGGCCGTCCTAAGTGATCATCCCCATTTTCACTTACCCGTTGTGAGTCTGACATAGTGGAAAAATTGCAGATTGAAAGTAAGTAACAGGATTTTGAACTGAATTCTGAACTTGACAGGGAGACAGTGGAGCTGCTGTAGGACTGAGGTGATGTGATGGAAAGAGGAGTTTCTAGAGATGATGTGAGCTGCTGGATTTTGGACAATGGTCAGTTTTGTAGTACTGCACTAAGACCACTTGATGGCAGATTAGTTCCGCTTACAGCTTGACCTCATAAAGAGAGCTAGAGCTTTTCTTATTAAAATTTCCTTTTAACATCATCTAAAGTTAAAAATATGCGATGGATTTTCTAGAGGGAAATACATTCTAATAGGTAACCACATCCCAGTTACCAAGCCGGAATCCACAAGACTATCTTGTGGATGTTTTGCATCATAAACAGGCTGTTGTTTAAAATTTGCTTATGTTTGGCAGGACTGAATATAATCCTAGTGAATCAAAGTTGTATATTATTGGTTTAAACATTGTTTTTTTTAGTGAAAGTATCTACATTATGCTGGAGAGTGAACAGTTTGATCTGAAGTGACTGCAAAGGATTTTATCAGCTTTGGAGGAATTACTTTATAACCAAAACCTTTTTTCCAAATTTCAATGGAGTCCTACTGAGTTATTTCCATCCATCCATCCATCCATCCATCCATCCATCCATCCATCCATCCATCCATCCATCCATCCATCCATCCATCCATCCATCCATCNAGAATGGAGATAAAAATGATTTCTTTGCAAGAAAATCATGTGATGTCAAGATGGACATCCTCTTTAGTGTCTGTAAAAGGGGTGATATTGTAGAAAAAAGGTAAAGTGGGCGAGGTGAACATACAGGTGTTGGGGTGAGAATAGGAAAGTACAGAGCAGGTGAAAAGTTAGGAGATGCTGAGCCTGAGTTTCTTGATGGTAGACAGGGATGAAGGATAGACTGAAAATCTAAAAGAAGTACGGATGGACAAAGTATGAGAATGCTTTAAAAGCTACTGTGAGCAGGGGGCTTATTATGTACAGTTCTGCCAAGTCACACTGCCATGATGGCAGTCATGCAACGATATCATCTAAACGACCTAGAAATAAGTAAAAAAAATATTAAATTAAGTGTATTTACCCTTAATTTGAGTAGGTACATGAGATAGTTTGCCAATGGAATGAGTATTTTTACTCTTAAAATAAGATAATTATAAGCACTTGAAATAAGACAATGCAGTTGTGTTTTCTTATATTAAGTGTAAATTGTCATGTTCCATTGGCAAAATGTCTCTTTTAACTACTCAGTCCAAGAACAAATGCACTTATTTTAAGAAAAAATGACTTATCTAGATTTAGATTTTGTCCAGTGTGTTTCTATTTTCAGAACCTTTAGTACTTGACCATGAAAGAAAAACCTAAACTGTAGGGTTAATGAATTAAAGGTGTTCGTAATTGAAATCAAAGAAGGGTCACAAAGTGCCGGTGTTTTATTAGCTGAAATCTGAGATCTGTTTACCCCAAGAGATCTTGGAAATGCAGAGGTGTTGGTGAAGGCCCACGCCAGGGCTCTTTTATGCTCCTGAATGTCTACAGCAGAGTGTTAGCTAATAAAGCTGACTGTGAAATATTGCTGTAATAAAAGTAAATGCAGTGATTCAGACACCAGATGTAGTTGGAAAGAGAAAAATATTGCTTTGCTGTTGCTATACATGAATATCTTGTCTTTTTGTGACCAGCTATTATCCACAGTTTTTGTAAAGGACGGAAATAATCAAATTCAGATCAAACTGAAACAAATGTGATAACTGGGAGTACCTCGTTTTATGTACTGGATCCCCTGTGTTCAACAAATCCCTGTTTTGAAATATAAAAAGTTCTATTTCAAAAGACTAAATTTGCCATGAATTGCGCAGTTTATTAGTTATAGACTTAATATTGTTTAGTAGTTTTTAGTTTGAGGGTTCATTGGTATCTAAATCACTTGGAGATGGAAATGCAGCAATAAACCATAAAATGCTGATTTCTAATCTGTTGTAGATATTGTGATAACATAAATTTCTTATATATCTTAGGTTAACATTTTATAAATAACTATAACAAATTACATTTAGTGCCCGAACTGAAACCACTTTGATTGTTTTTTGGTCCCAAATATAGGACGGCTGAGACCAAAACTGATTAAATGGAGATTCTTTAGAAATGGAGATGTATGATACCTTTATTCATTTCTTTAAAACACAAAAAAATGTTTTAAATGTTTTTGGCATAAGCGCCACCTTAGATTGAGACCAGCATGAAAAGTGTGATGTATGCATTTTTGGTTTGGAGATGTTTTAGCACATTGTGTTTCAGGAAACACAAAGATTTTCTAATGTATTTTTAATATAATTCTTTGTTTTAGCAGTCGTTGAAACCAAGCTAGGGAGTGTGTTCTCTGGCCTTTCTTTGTCCCTCCATTCAAACATCTGCATGTCAGGTCAGTAGGTCTTTAAACTGTGGATGATTATCTGATAAGTTGCCCAAAATTTACCCTGCCATGCTTGTCCCCACTGACTCCTGGTGAAGGAGGCCAGCGGATTCAGGAAAAACAGGTTGATAATAATAAAACTAATTTTATGGTGCCGGTACCAGCTTTTGATTGGTGGAGCAACAAAGCAGTCTACAGAAGACAGGAAAGCGAGACAGACAGTGGGGTTAGTCAAAAGACTTTTATTAAGAACTAGTGAAACGGAGTAGCATTGGCTAGACCGTCTATCACAGGAAACTCTGGTTTACAAGTTCAGTCCATGCCCAGAAAACAAGGTAGGGTCCAGCCGGTGGGTTGCCAATATGATGCGGTGGGCGCTGCCTAGATTGTTCCAAATGCTGCAGCCCTGGAGAAAGGAAAACAAGCAGGAGTCTGAAGACAGGTCGGGCAAACAGATCAGAACAAGAACAGGCAGGCTCAGTGGTTGAGAGGCAGAAACACTAAGGCTACACTCGCACTGCAGGCCTTGATTGCTCAATTCCGATTTTTTTGTGAAATCCAATTTTTTTGCATTGTTGTTCACATTTCCAAATAAATGCAAGGTGTATGTGATCTCCTGTGTGAACTGCAGACATACAACGCAAGTGTCCTGCATGCGCAGTAGAGGATGCGATGACGTCACAGACCAGCGTGCTCTATGTTTATGGAAGTAAACATGGATGGTAGCGCCGGCGCGCATCTAGCGGTCTTTTCCAACCATAAAAACTCAATCTTTTCAATATGTTTAAAGATAAATACTGCTCTCCGCATCATCATCTGCCATGGTTGTTGTTGCAGAATAGTGACCTTTGTCGGGTATAAATGACATTCAGGTCGGATGAATGCGACCTGGCCGTTCACACACAGGTCGCATTTGAAAAGATCAGATTCATATCGGATTCAGGATCACATAGCCAAGTGGCCTGGGTCGCACTGGAAAAAATCGGATCTG